AGAGGTTCTCTTGGAGAATAGGATTCCTGAGCTCCTTCGAGGTGCGCTTGTGGCGGCGCCTGGGGATCGAGGGCCGCTGATAGGTCCCAGGGGGGCCAAGCATTATGATTACTTCTTGGTCTCTGGAGGCTTGAGTAAGCGCGTCGAGGACGTGGCCCTTGTCGAGGGGGCCGCGACGTTCCCGCGCGTTCCTGTCTGCTTGGAGTTCCACACGTCTCTCAGCACCCTTCGGGCCCTCAGGTTCCGCAAGCCTCCGAAGATCCCTGTCGACCCCGCCATGGGCCCCGTCATCGAGCCGCCCGACTGGGCCCACACTCTGTAGCTTCTGGATGTCACTTTGGGGCATGCTGAGTCTGGGAGGCTTGAGGGGGGTTTTGCTAGGTTAGACTCGGCCTACGAGGTGTGGGCCAATCTCAGCGAGGTCGAGCATGTCAACTCGACCCAGTCATCGATCCCTGTTTAGGGCGCTCGCGGCCGCAGGCCTAGGTGCGAGCGGTGCGACCCGCTCGCAGCGGGCACCGGGGCCGCGCCGCCGCCGGCGCAGCAGGCCGTTAATTTCTCTGTCGCGCAGCTGCGTGCTTTGATCGCTTACCTCGGGGCGGGCGACCCCGACGAGCACCCAGCTGTCCAATCGCTTGTGGGGCAGTTGCGACGGCCTCCTCAGACTATCCGGGATCATCTTTGGAAGTGGTCTTATGTTCATGACGAGGCTGTTTTATTCCTGGGGCTTGGCGGGGGGCTTCCTCTGGGCGACTGGAGGCTTTCTCTCGCTCAGCTCGTGGGATTTCGAGGAGTCGCTTTCGGGGGCCGTTGCTTGCGCTCGGAAGGAGTCTAGGGCTTCTTGGAGGCAGTGGGTCCTCGAGGACATCGAGAAGGGGGGCAAGCGGGCGCGTCGATACACGCGGGGCCCCCAGTCTTGGAAGCCAGCCACTACTCTGAGCTCGGACGGGGCCCTGGTCTCGGATCCACTCGGCCCCCTGAAGGCCGAGGCGCTCAGGCTTGCTGATCTCTGGGGCACTACTTCCCAGGAGGCGAGGCCACCTGATCGCTTTGCTCGCGAGGCATTTCTGGAGCTCTCTCGTTCTTGTCGCCAGTGGAGCTGCGGGGCCTCAGCCGCCGCTACTCGCCGGTCACGGCTGTCTCGGTGGACGGCTTCCACATGAGGCACTTTGCTCAGCTTAGCGACGGCGCACTTCTGGCTTTGGGGAAGTTGTTCCAGCTTTGGGAGATGTTGTCGGCCTTTCCGACTCAGCTGAGATGGTTCCCCTGGCTTTCTTATCAATGACCTCTGGAGGCTTCAGGCCCATCGGCCTCCTCGCGGGCACCTGCAGGCTCTGGGGGCGCGCTCGCCGTCGTTTAGCTGCAGAGTCTCAGAGTGGGGGGCGGCCTGGCAGAGGCCCTCTTTCGCTTGTGGGCGCTTCAAGTCTTCTTCTGATGCAGTTTGGAGGCAAGCTCTAAGGTCAGAAGAATCGGTTTCGAATGAAGATGTTTCGGCCAGCATTCTCTGGGATGTGTAAAAGTTTTACGAACTGTTCGACCTGGAGCTGCTTCTAGACACATGCAGGCGCGTTGGATTATCTTTGCAGGTCTCTCGCCTGTGCGTGTTCGCCTGCCAGTTCGCTAGATTTGTCTTGATGAATGGCGGTGTCAATGGCCCTTGGCTGGCGATGAATGGGGGCCATCGCAGGGTGTTCGATCGCCGCGCCATTCGTGCGTGTGTACCTTGTGCTCGACCTGGAGAAATGACGCTGCCACGTTTGGTGACATTAGATGCCTACATCGACGACTGCGCGCTCAATTGTGTTGGCAGCGTCGAGACCGTGGTTAGGGACCTCGCGTCTTCGTCTCGAGCTCTGCATCGCGTGCTCACGCTAGATTGGAAGCGTTCGCTTTGGATCGATCGCAACTCGGGGGTCACGGCTGACAAGGCGTGTCTCATCTCATCTTCTCCTCAAGTCGCCCATCGGCTTCGCGTTGTCCTGGGAGGCCTTGCTGCGATTATTACCGCGGGGGTTGCCAACATGGGTGTCGACGACACTCAATGGGAACCCCGTCGTTCGTCGGGTCGGGGCGCCACGGCCATGAAGCGAGCTGATATGTTTAACCGTCGAGTCGAGCGGCTGACCAAGTGGAAGCCTGAGTTTGGCAAGGTATGTAAGCATATTTTCACAGCTGGGCCGCTGCCTGGCTTATTGTATGGCGCCGAAGTTCATGGATGTAGTGATGGCGAGGTCCTTCGCATTCGTCGGTCGCTCGGTCGCGCCATTCAGCCGTCTGCGGGGGGTCGGCCGCTTTCAGTTCTTGCGATTTCGGAGAATGATCCAGCATGGCCTGCGGCAGTGGCGCCTGCTGTCCGATGGGGCAAGGGGGTGTGGATTACCGCCGGCAAAATCACGCCTCCCTCGCTGCCCTTCGCCGCCCTGCGCTCTGCTTGGAACGCTGCGTTCGGCGAAGGTCTGACGTGGCGATCTTGCGGTGGCCCCGTCTGCGCCATGAAGTTGTCTTTGCGCAGTATCGACTGGCAGATGAAGGACCCCTTCGCGCTCATCAATAACCTCCAGCAGGAAATGTCGTTGCCAGTCGCGTCGCCGGCTCTGCTCAAGAAGCCCCTGCGTGAGGGAGTTCTTCGGCCCCTGGAAAGATCAGCCAGCGACGCTCGGGGGCCCCGTATCGGCTATGCTTCGACGTAATGGTCACGGCTGCTCGTTCGTCGAAGTTCGATCAGATCCAGAGGGGCTCGGTCAAAGTTGAGCTATGTGGGGCCATTGGACTCGCGATGAGGCCATCAGCTTAGGATACCAGTGCTGCCCTACGTGCGTGCTCTGTGGGGGGCCCGATTCGTTGCTCCACAGTCTCTGGAGGTGTAGCGCTTGTTCAGAGCCCACAGAATCTTTTAGTGGACCCTTGGTAGTTAGAAGCCTCTAAGGACCGCAATGTGGACCTCCTTCTGTTTACTCGAGGCCTTTTCCGACACCCAGGGTGCCAGTGCCCCCCCCGCTCTCGGAGACTGGTGTAGATATTCAATGGCGCGACGACCCCGATCGCGGGGGTGGAGGATTTGCTGGCCACGTCTTTCTCGACGGCTCGTGTTTTAAGCATCCAGTTCGAAGGCTTTCGAGAGCGGGGTGGGGGATCGCAGTTTTTGAAAGTCAGGGTTGTGATGCCCCTCTCTGCACGGTCTCGGCCCCCGTCTGGTGCCCCGCGCCCCAGACGAGCCATGGGGGGGAGTGCTCGGCCTTTGGGGGCTCTGTGTTCCTGGCGGGCGGCCCCGGCGATTTCTATGCGGGCTGCTTGAATGTCCACAAGCGGTCTCATGCCCCAGGTTATTATAACCAGATCAGTCATAAACTTGTTTATAGTGGAATGATGATGCAAGCACTGTCTCACGCCTCCTTGGTTTCCAGCTTGACCAAGGTCAAGGCGCGTCAGGGTTTCGAAGCTGAGCTGCCTCCTTCGGAGGCTTTCCACTGCCTGGGTAACCGCGCGGCTGACCTAGCCGCGAAACGAGGCGCTCTTCAGCATCCCGCTGCCTCGCCCGCGCTTCGAGGGGCCGTGGATCGTGATGGCCCGGTTGCCAATGCGGTGGCCAGGCTTTCTGCTCACCTCCTCCCGCTCTGGCCTCGCCTTGAGCTGAAGGGGGTGCCTCTCATCGTCCCGCCGCGCCCTGCCGCCGTGGCCCGATCGGGCCATTCCTGGGCGTGGGCGGCGTTTCTCTGGCAATGCGCTCAATTTCTGCGTGGGAGGCGATCTGCTGCGGAGCCGCCTCCAGGTGTCTGTTCTCGCCGCTGTCGTGTGAATGTCGCTCACTTGGTTGCGATTGGCCACATGTGCTGGGCGGTGGATTGCAGTGACGACTCTTTTGTCTGCTTTTGTCAGGTGTGTAAGAGCTACACATCAGGACTGAGGCTCGCTCATTTGTCGAGCGTTTCAGCGGCCCTCCTGTCAGCGAGGGTGGCACACCCAGGACACCCGACGCCTGGGCCCAGCTTTTGAAATGTCGCCACCCGAAGCGGCCGAGGGTGACCATCCTGTCGAGCACGATGGCTGCGCTGTGCCCGTGAGCGATGGGGGGGACTGTCGGGCCTTGTTTTTTTGGGTTGATGGTCCCCCCCCTCAGCGTGCGGAAGCCGTGTGGTCTCGCTGCTGGCGCTGTCGCCTGCTATCTGCTCCAAGCTTTCGCCCTGCGCGACTCTGGAGCGGGCGCTCCTCGCGCCCCGCTGCCCAGCCCAGCTGACTGGTGGAGGCGCATTAATGCGGTGCACGTTGAACAAACAAAAAACCTCATCGTTCTCCTCTTCCCTCCTATTCCTCCTTTTCCTCCTCCTCCTGAGGCGTGTTCGGCTCGGACGCGCCCTCAGTGGCCTTCATCACTCCTCCTCTTTCTCCCCCCCTCCTCCTCCCTCCTCCTCCTCCTCCTCCTCCTCCTCCTCCTCCTCCTCCTCCTCCTCCTCCCTCCTCTCTCCTCCTCCTCCTCCTCCTCCTCCCCCTCCTGCTCCTCCTCTCTTCCTCGTCGTCGTCTCCTCCTCCTCACCTCCTCCTCTTTCTCCTCCTCCTCTCTCCCTCCTCCTCTCCTCCTTCCTCCTCCTCCCTCCTCCCTCTTCCCTCCTCCTCCTCCTCCTCCTCCTCCTCCTCTCCTCCTCCTCTCCCTCCTCCTCCTCCTCCCCATCCTCCTCCTCCTCCTCCTCCTCCTCCTCTCCTCCTCCTCCTCCTCCTCCTCCCTCCCTCCTCTCCTCCTCCTCCTCCTCCTCCTCCTCCTCCTCCTCCTCCTTTTTTCCTTCCTTTTCCTCCTCCTCCTCTTCCTCCTCCTCCTCCTCCTCCCCCCCTCCCCCTCCTCCTCCTCCTCCTCCTCCTCTCTCTCCTCCTCTCCTCCTTCTCCTCCTCCTCCTCCTCCTCCTCCTCCTCCTCCTCCTCCTCCTCTTCCTCCTCCTCCTCCTCCTCCTCCTCCTCCTCCTCCTCCTCCTCCCCCCCTGTGCCCCGAGCGCGCCTCTTCGCATCCCCAGGAGGCCGGCAAGGGCAACGCGGAGGTGGACGCCCCGTCGATGCCGTGGAGCGTGCGCCCGCCGGCCCGCCGACTCCATCGATCGCTTTTCCACATGTTTCCACTCTTTCGCGCAGGGCGGGGAGAAGGAGGACGAGGAGGAGGAGGATGAGGAGGAGGAGGGCGGACGAGGGAGGAACGAAGAGGGATGATGGATGATAGGGGAGGGATGAAGGGGGATGAGGAGGAGGAGGCGGGGGAAATGAGGAGGAGGAAGAGGAAATGGAGGAGGAGGAGGAGGTGGACCAGTGTAAATCCAAGAGCCATCAACGATGTTGGAGGAAACCCTCCCTCCAAGCTCCCTCTTCAGAGGCCCCTACAAGGGTTCATTTCCATTGATGGAACTGCCTCGTTGGAAGACACCCGTTCGAAACCCTGAAGCATCCCAAAACATTGTTCTCGGGATGCCAACGCCACGGATCAACCTGACTGTTGCGTCTTGACGATCCTGAGTCGTGACAGAACGCCATTCCTAGGACTTCAGCACAGAGAACCAACGTAACTGTTGCAGCCGCATAATCCTGAATTCTTTCAGAACGCCATTTCTGGTACGCTGATGAAGGGAATCCGTGAAACTTGTCTATTTCATACATAAAAACGAATGTACGCGGCGATGCAGAGAGAGAGAGAGAGAGCCACATGTTGGAAACCATCCGCCCTCAATCCGTGAAGCTTTTGCTATAGTTTAAAACGAATGTGCGCCGCGCAAATACGAGAGCCACATTTTGAAAACGACCCGCCCTCAATCCGTGACACTCTTGCAATGGTTTAAAACGAATGTGCGCCGCGCTGGGGCGAGAGCTACATTTTGAAAACCACCCGCCCTCAATCCGTGAAGCTCTTGCAATGTTTTAAAACGTATGTGCGCCGCGCTAAGACGAGAGCCACATGTTGAAAACCACCCGCCCTTAATCCGTTAAACGCTTGCAAATGTTTAAAAGGAATGTGCGCCGCGCTATGGCGAGAGCCACATTTTGAAAACGACCCGCCTTCCATCTGTGAAACTGTTGTCAATGTTTAAGCTTCAAATTCATAAGTAGTGAGGAAGTCTCAGGCGAAACGCCCGGCCACTGGCTTCGGGGTGCGACACGGAGAAGTTATTCAATCGCTTCGCTCACTCCGCCAGCCCATGTTGCATCATCGCTACTGATTCGCCGTGGGCCCAGGGCCATTGTGGCGCCACCGAGGAGGAGGAGGAGGAGGAGGAGGAGGAAGATGAGGATGGGGAAGGAGAGGGGAGGAGGAGGAGAGGATGAGAAGGAGAGGAGGAGGGTGAAGTTAAGTAGGAGGAGGAGGAGGAGGAGGAGGAGGAGGAGGAGGAGGAGGAGGAAGGGGAAGGGGCGGAGGGGGAAGCCTCTCTTTGGCATCTTGTGTTGTCGTCGGGGCCAAACAGGGTCGTCGTCAAGATGCTTCTTTGGGAGGCCTCTTGCGGTCTTTTGAAAAGCCGTTCGGGGGCGCCTGGGAGGCATTTTTGAACTTTTTGGCCTCTTTTGGGCCTCCTGGGGGCCTCCTGGGGCCTCTTGGGGGCCTCTTGGCGGCATCTTGGGGCCTCTTGAGGGCCTCTTGAGGGCCTCTCGGGGCCTCCTGGGGCCCTCTTGGGGCGGAAGGCTCGAGTTTTCGGTTCGTGGTCCCCCTCTTGGGCCCCGGCCGTCTTGGGGCCGTCTTGGGCCGTCTTGGGCGCCTCTTGGGCCGTTTCGGGGCCCTCTTGGGGCCCTCTTGGAAGCCTCTTGGCCCATCTTGGGGCGCTCTTGGGGGCCTCTTGGGCCGTCTTGGAGCATCGGATGGCCGAAAAGGCGACAAGGCCCAAATCCTTCCAAAACCATCGTAAAATTCATGATTTTGGCCTGTCGGGCCCTCTTGTGAGGCCTCTTGGAGGCCGCTTGGAGGCCTCTTGGGCCGTCTTGGGGTCATCATCGGCGTCTTGGAGCGCTCCTTGGGCGTCTCGGGGGCCTCTTGGACCGCCTGGGAGACCTCTTGGGGCCCTCTTGGACCGATTTGGAGCCCTCTGGGGCTCCGAAAAAGAGTTCCGGCATCCTTGAACAGGACTTGCCGGGAGTCTGTCGGGGTACTTTTCGTCCGGGGTCCCCCAGGGCCCGCCCCGCGCGCGCGAACATGGCGAGAGCCACATTTTGAAAACGACCCGCCTTCCATCTGTGAAACTGTTGTCAACGTTTAAGCTTCATAGTCATAAGTAGTGAGGAAGGCTCAGGCGAAACGCCCGGCCCGCCCTAAAAAACTGGCCTCGGGGTGCGACAGGGGAAGTTGTTTATAAGGAAGAGGAATGAAGGAGGGGGAGGAGTCTCGGAGGAGGAGGAGGACGACGACGACCAGTGTATGCCCAAGAACCATCAACGACGGTGTGATATGCCCTCCCTCCAAGCTCCCTCCTCATGGGCCCCTGCAGGGATGGTCATTTCCATTGAGGGGAGTGCTCCATTGGGAGACAATCGTTTGAAGATCTTGAAGCGTGCCAAAGCATCATTTCTTGGGACTCATGCGCCACGAATCAACCTGACTGTTGCGTCTTGACGGTCCCGAATCGTTCCAGAACGCCTTCCCGGGACGGCAGCGCCGCGAACTTCTGTGCCCCGCGCCCTGGGGGCGCCCGCGGCCTGGACTGAGCCCGTTGCCCGCCGCGCTGTCCGACGAACATCGCTGGGCTCATGTCTGTTTCAGGGAGGTGATTTCATGGCGCCAACGTCGCCGACAGAACGGATTCTATAGGCTTGCGCCACATCCGCTGACCCCTTGATTCACTGCCGGCTCCGCGATGTGCGGTGCTGGTGCTCGCTTACAGGGGAGCAAGACTCGGCTTGCCGGGTCGTTCTTCCACCGTCTTGGGTGCGGTTTGGGGCCACGTGGGTCGTGGTGACGCCCTATATGCTTTCATGGCGCGTTTGCCTTGGGCCAGGGAGGCGGGGATCGAATCTCGGATTCGTCGGGGGGGGTACATGACAATAGGGCTGGGGATAATCTCGCGCGCCTAGAGACCCACAAGGGGGCGGTGGATTTTTCTTTTCATTGCACTCTCGAGTCGCAGCCGTCCGAGGTTTTGGGATGGCGCCGGAAGACCTCTGCGCGCGCGCGGTTCATTCGTTGAGGGTCTCCTGTTGTGTGTTCTTGGGGGCTATTGCGTAAGCTTTTCCTGGCGCTCGCTGCGCTCCCTTGCGCGGGAGGAAGCGACGCTGCCAAAGGGGCGTTTTGATTTCCGAAGGCAGTGGGTTGACCCTGGCTTGCCCTCGATGCACTCTCGGGGATCGACCTGCGAAGCGGGAGTGAAAGCGCGCTTCTGGCAGCGCGTGGCAAAGGGCAGGGCGATCACGCGGATGTTCCCCACGGTCTGGCGGGCTCGGCTTTCACAATTCCCAGAAAGCCTTCGGGCAACGTGGTTTCAGAAGCTTCCGCTCCTCTCAAAGCGTGCTTTCAAAACGCTTGCCAGGTAGCTGCGCGCCCCCGAGAGACCCGAGTGGCGCTACCTGCCGCCGCGATCGGAAACGCCTCTCCGGCGCGGGAGGTCCTGGTGATTGTAGTGAAGTTGATGGCGGTGACAATGCCGACGGTGATGATGATGATGATGATGATGACGGTGGTGGTGATGATGATGATGATGATGATGGTGCTCACGATGATGATGATGTGGGCCCTGAACATGATGCCGACGATCCATTTGGCGCTGGCGATGTCGATGACCATATAATAGCGATGACGACGCAGACGATTTGCGTCACGGTGCCCGTGGCCATCGTGAGGATGGCGGTCGCGCCCCAGACGGGGATCATCGCGACGGTGGCGTTCGTGGTGATTATTATTCTGCTTATTGCGGTCACGTTCGCGACGATGACGACGACGGCGCGCGCCGTCGCCGTGGCACCATGCCGCGGGGGCGCTGCTGCTTCTGACGATGGTCGCCGCGAAGCCCCACGAGGCTCCACGAGGCCCGCGAGAAAACTTCCAACGACGCGAGGGGAACGCAAGAGCACGGAGAAGAGACGACCCAGGAGCCGGCGCCAGGAGGGAGGCCCTATGGGCAACCAGGAAACCTCCAGGGGCAATCGGGGGGCCCCCGATGAGCCCCGCAAAGCCGCAAAGGTTCCCGTGATGCCCCCGAAAAGTCCATCGAGGGCCCCAGGGGCCCCGCAGCGTCGCCCCCAACCGACGGCGTCTTCGAAACCGGCTAGAACTTGATCGAGCACGCGAAGCGCGCGCGGGTCTTCTCCGCGCGCGGGTCTTCTCCACGCGCTGGACATCGCCGCCACCCCCCCCCGTTTCCACGCGCCCCTCGTTTGCGAACAGGCAGGCCTGCGCGTCTCTTCTCTTCGACGCGGGACATCCGGGAGCCTCGCGAGCCTCCTCTTCTCCTTTCCTTCTCCTCTTGGCCCGCGTGGCCTCTCCTTTCCCGATTCCCGCCTGTGTTTTCTCGCGGATGTCCGAGCTCCGAGTTCCTTCTCTCCCTCCTCCCACCCTCTTCCTCCTCCTCCCCCGCCCATCCTCCTCCTCGTTCCCCCTTTTTCTTCCCTTCTTCCTCCTCCTATCCTCTCCCACACTCCTCCTCCTCCTCCTCCTCCTCCTCCTCCTCCTCCTCCTCCTGCTTTTCCTCCCCCTCCTGTTCCTCCTCATCCTCATCCTCCTCCTCTCCCGCTTCATCTTCCTCCCCCCCTCTCATTCCCCCCCCTCGCCCTCGTCCTGCCCTCGCGCTCCGCAAAGGCTGCCAGGGGAGGAGGATGAGGAGGTGGAGGAAAGGGGGGCGGAAAACGACGAGGAGGGAGACGAGGACAGGACAATACATGCCATCCGCATGAGGGGGGCTGAGGGCTTAGGAGTCCTGTTAGTAATCCGAGCGGGCCATCGGAATCCTGCGTCGTCACTTTTGGGCCCCTCAGTCCTGAATGCTGCAGATGTTTTGGGCGGGAGCCTCGCCTGCGAGCGCGCTGCAGGACTCAGGCGTGGGCCCCGCCCCTACGGGGCCCGCTTCTCGCGTCGTAGATGCAGGGCCCGCGCCTTCTGGGAAGCAGC